CGCAGGAGTTTAACAGTTGTTATATATGTTTTCTTCTAGCTAAATCATATCACACGCACACACATTGGTGTATACATTACCTCCATGCAAACTTTTAACCAGAGTAGGGCATACATAATACTGGTAGGAACCTCCTGGTTACACCAGCCCACAGAGGATTATTGTGTCCGTCGTGCAGGGAGGGGCTGGGTGGAGAGGGAGGGGCTGGGTGGGGTGGGTAGGGTGGGGAGGGGCTGGGTGGGGAGGGTGAGGCTGGGTGGGGGGTGGGAGGGGTGGGGCTGGGTAGGTAGGGGCTGGTCACCCCGTGGTGCCCTTATAAAACTCAACGTTTAACCTACTCACGCCGGCTTGTGCCCGCCCTCACAGTCGGGAATATTTGCGGAATACACCACGCCGCCGTTGACCCTGGCCATTGACCAAGCAACCCAACGTTCCTACCAGCTCCCTCCGCAGGAATGTGTTGTAGGAGTTACAAGGATGGACCTGGGACTTGTACCATTCAGTGGGTGAGGTGAGCAATGAAATTTGAAAGAAAGACAAAAATACTTTGTAAGGCGTAAAACACAAGGCTCGTGCACGAACACCGACAAGCAAAGTGTGTTGAAATGACTGAAAACGATCCACATTTTCTCTATGTTCTCACTTAATCCACACCGCACGACTTCAAGTGTTTCCAGTGAGAGCAGCGTGATGTGTTTCGTGATATTAAACAAAAAATCAGTCGCGTGAAAGGCCTTCTCCCACCCCACACTCTGGAGTCGGGCAATTCTGGACCTCCAGCACAGTGGGGCATGCAATCAACTACGAGTGAAAAAAACCCTTCCTTCACTTCAAATCGATCCTTAGACACGTCCTTAATTCAACTGTGAGGATTACGCTTCCGTGATTTACACCTACACATGACAGCCCAAGTGAGAAATGTGGAACACGATATTGAAATGAAACGCGAGTGAAAGACGAGCACTCAACAAACACATTGAGTGCACTGAAACCCGACGCGATTACGGAATAACAAAAAGTATTCGTATTTAGAGATCGCCGAATGGCAAAGATTCGAGGACGATTGGGCAAGAATGTGGAAGCCTGACTGTACAGCAGCTCCACATTCAGCACTTGTCAAAACCCCGCACGAGCCAGATTGCCACGACTAACAGCAAGAAGCTACATGCACAAGCAATGTCAAGTTTAAAATCAAATTTGCAACAACAAAAAAACACATTTTATTTGGCACGTGATAACAAATCCATGTGTATTTTTGTATATATTACTCATTACAATTGTAAAACAAATTGTACACTTTGCCACTCAGTAAATGTCACGCTCGGCGATGGCTCCTTCCGTAGTGTTGCACACGAATCTGTTCTGCGGTTTGCACCATCAATTATTCAGGATTGCAAATGTATCATTCGCCTTTCTTGGCAATCATTTACTTCGACACAACCATAAAAAACGGTGATCATTGGCACTGTATCCACGTGGATAGCCTTTAAAACGTCAAGGTGAATGTTCAGCCTAGCCAGGAAATTGTCATTTCCTGTTGCAATGCAGTCAACTTAATGGCCCTGCGTTCCTTCCCGCGTCACTCATCTATATCTGTTCAGTCTTTCCCGATTACCAAAAGTATTTCCCCAATAACCCCCCTCTCACCCCCAACGATCATTGTACATCTTGAGATGCAGTGGCATTTAGAGATTTCCTAAATCGAGAATATTCCAATGACGATGTATAAACCTGGAGTATCTCTCACATGAGCCACTCGACGACGCTGGGAATTTAATACAATCTACCAGACAAAGATCCCCCGTATAGCCTAACAGACTTGGGGCAAGTCATGTTGGCGATCACCTATGAAGGTCGGCACGGCACACGAGGGGTGGGTGGCCAGCACTACGCCCGACCGCCTTTGTCTCCCCAATGGCGATGTTTTTACAAAGCGCACCAGGTATTCATTTGAGGCCGAGTCGACCTAGGGCAGGCCCAGAACTGGTTCAGGTAATCGTACTGGTGTTGGCCGTGAGCAGGAATCGAACTCGGGTCATCAGGTTTGTAGCGCAGCGCGTTAACCGGCAATCCCCACCATCCAATCGACCACCTGCACACTGACCAGCATGTTAAACTATGGTCAAATAACACCCATGACCCACACAGCATTCAGCTGTGGATTGACAAACGATCGTAAATTATTTATTATTTTATCATTATTGTTATTAGCATGTGTCTTAAAAAAAGTACACTCAACAATGTGCAATCAATAATCACCAAATGCAAAATACTCCTGCAGGAGCCTGGCTAATCAAAAGGGTTTAACGACAAAACATTTTTATTTCAACGATTACATTGTCATCATCCACTGCTGGATGAAGGCTTCTCCCGAAGAGATCTCGCATGGTCCTGCAAGACACCATCTCGCAGAGTTCGCAGAGTTCGCAGATCTTCACCCTGATGAAACACCATGCCAAGGACGACTCTGGATTTGATCAAAAATTTAGAAACAAACATTATCTGCGCTTTCGTTTGTATTGTACCATGGCCCACACGAACGCAATAAAACACTTGTTTCCATCAACAGACACTTTCAAATCAAGACACCAGCCAGCATGTGGGCCACATGCCATAACTCGTGCACGTATTTTACAAGGTAAGCCAGAACCACACCCTGGCAACTCGTCAGCAGGCGATGCCTTCTTCACACCAATTCTATCAAACCTTTATTCGGTTCAGACATCAATCAAAAGACCCTATCCCAAGTTCTATGCAAATCGCATTTTTCACAACGCTGTACACACTTTGTAACGCTCTCCACTTAGCAGAAAAGTCACGATAGATGTTAAAGATCTAAAGCACCACATCTCTTCACGTATAGTTTTGGCTTATATTACTTTTTTGTATGTATTGATGTTAACTGTTTTTTTTTATACGGTTATATAAACAGACCGCAGATTAATTTCGATTTAAAGCTTTCGTGACTGCAGGGATTCATATTCTTGGTTATTTCGGTAAAGTCACGTAGAAGGGAAATAATAAAAATTTAATTCTCACGTTTCGATTGCAACACAAGCAATCTTCATCAGGTGTGAAAACCACAGCAACTTGAGAATTTTGTTTTATTTTTATTATTTCCCTTCTATGTGACTTTACCGAAAGACCGCAGATGCTTGACATCACGACACTTCTACAGGCTGTGTTCAATAATTAAATGTTCGTAGTACCTAGGTGTGCCAATACTTTAACGCTGCCGTGATTATAATAGCGCAAAAAGCACAGCGGCACTCTCGTTCAGGATTTATTTATGTTTAGTGACTTGCTTACCTTTCCCATACTTTGCACTCTTACCGGTGTTTGCATTGTTGTTGTACATTTTTCTGAGCCAGCCCTACTGGACATTGTGCAAAAGAGCTTTACAGCTCATCGGATTCCTCCAGTCTGATGGAATATTCTGATAGTGTGTGCAGTGCGTTGTTACTCTTGAGTTTGCTCTTGCCATAACCCAGGTGTCAACCGTGGAGTCACCCACGTGTGTCCCTTGCAAAGCAACACTCCTCCGACTATTTCCTGACTCCCACGTCTCGCTGTGTGCACATAACCACATCTTTCCTCCGGCCCTCCACTGTGCCCCTCAATCAGCCCAACTGTCCGGCCACCAGACCTCTGCCCCTACAAACCTTCACCTACCCTCATCCATGCCTCAGCCATAGCATCGATCTTTCTCATCACTCTACGCACGTGCCCCGTACCACGCTGCCTCTCATTCACATTGCACCTATCCACCACACTCCACCGTAGTCCCTGCTTCACTGCCCCTGCAACATCCGCTGCTGTCCCAGCCCCTGTCCCTCCGTCACCTCCCTCACTAACAGCCGGCTCCACCACCTCACCTGTTGCTCCCCTGTGTGTGCGGTTGTCGGTTTGTGTTGCGAAGCGCCCTGGAAAAGGGACGTCAAATGAATTCTAAACAGAATAGATTTTAGTATTCCTGGCCAAAAAAAAACTTGTCTCGTAACACCAGGGCCAGTCACCTTTTTGTGCACAGTAAGTGCCGAGTGGGGAACTCAATTACCAACCACTTCTTGTGAGATCAGGCGAGCAATTGATACACGATTTTAATAAAAACTCAGTTCTTAACCAGGTGGTGGGGGGGGGGGCAGTGGTTAATGCACCGGCTCCAGTATTTTGGCGTGACCACTCTGACACCGATCGTGCTCTCCTGTCACGAGTGCCGATTCTCACGCCTTCTACACCGTGGCTCTCAAACTTTTGTTGGTTACTGTACCATACCCTTGTTGAATGTTGTTTCAACAGAGGAGCACCCACCACCCCACCCCCCCCCCCCCCCGTGACTCAACATGGTCTTGAGTAATAATTGTATGAATAATAAGCATCAATATTGTATTCTAGATTTGAAGCTTTCGTGACTGCAAGGATTCATACTCTTAGGTTTTTTTTCGGTAAAGTCACGTAGGCAAAAATAAAGAATAAAAAAAATATATAATAAAAACTATAGAAATAATAATAGAAATAAAATAATAAATCAATAACTTATTTTATTTCTATTATTTCTTTATTTTTATATATATTTTACCTACGTGACTTTACCGAAAAAACCCTAAGAGTATCAATATTGTAACCAGTCGTCTATAGTGAGTAACTGCAAGCGAATAAAAGCGAATTCAACGGAAGCTCTGCATGCACGACGTAACTGGTTCACGCTTGCTGCTTACTCTTGGACACCGCATTGGTTACGATCAATGAGCTTAGAAATGTCTTTTATATCCATCAGAGGTATTTGGGTTAGATCGCGTAAATATATAAATCTGTCGTTAGACCCGCCACCACCCGACACAGCCAACTAGTAAGGGTTGTCACGTAAACAGAACGTGCCAATTCGTGCTGTACTAGTGACCAATTGGCCACATTCTGTTGACGTGACAACCTTTACTAGTTGGCTGTGTCGGGTGGTGGCGGGTTTAACGACACATTTATAGATTTACGCGATTTAACCCAAAAACCTCTATTATGGATGATATTGGTCGCGAAAGCCTCCTCCTACTGCGTGTTCAACCGTCTTTCATATCGTTCCAGGGAACCATCTGGATTTACATTTTATCATAGTTATTTTACATTGGCAGTCATACAAAATTGCTCACCAACGACTCTCACGACACAATTTCACGAATTTATAAGCCAACTCGCGTAACCCCGCGGGACATTGCCACGTGCCCCCCGGGGTGAACAACCACCGCTCTTACGCGCACGACATTTGGAGAACATCACCAAATCGCCCGGCATGCGCCGGATCTCGTCAGCTCCGAGAAAGCCAAGCTGTGCTCGTCGAGTGACGTGCATGGCCGACAAAGCATGTTCGCAGCAGCATCGCAGAACATTCCCATTGTTGTACCGTCCTTCATATGATCCCGCGTATAGGAGCCCTGCCGTTAACCAACCTGCACCGACACAGCGTTGGAAGTTTTCTCGAATAACCCCCGCGGCCCAAGCGGCTTGGGGAGGTCCCCATACAAAACGGCTGCACGTGTACACACTTGTTGCGCCCACCACCTCTCCCCTGCATGACATTACAACAGCCTCGTAACATTGTACCACCATCTCCGTCCAGACAAATAACGAGGCTTTTGCGCTTAACAATTCACCAATTAACAAAGCGTTCTTCAACTACCCACTGTAGCACTCCGTGCCATTGTGTGCAAGAACGCACTATCTTCAATTCACGCACGCGACTCGATTGGTGGAAATCTGCAGCATTACAGAGTCGACGCACACCACACAGGTTTCGTTTGTAGCACGCGTGCTGTTGTTGTTATTAGGACCGTCTTGACGTTTTTGCTCCACGTGGCTGGGAGCTTCCGGAATTGCTCCCCAAGCCACATGGAGAGGAACATCCGAGCACTGCGTCGAAACGGCACGCACAGCGGGGTACAACGAAGTGAAAACAAGCGGCAGGGGGCTGCAAAGCACAACCGAGATACATACAAGAAAAATGTGCGCGGCAGTGAGCAAAACGAATTGTCACCCCGAACCAGAGGTCGCAACCGGGTACCCGATACCCGTACCCTACCCGATACCCGGCTACCCGGCAGGGTACGGGTACCCGTTTGCGACCCTGGTGCTGCCGGGTACGGGTAGGCCGTGAGTCACTGGTGAGTAACTGTTTGTCACTCATTTCCCAACGTCTTGTCTCTTCTCACAATTCAAGTTCCTAGAATCAACCCACCCGCGCCTGCAACATGGCTTCATCCCAGAGGTCGCAATCAGGTACCCGATACCCTGTACCCGGCTGGGTACGGGTAGGGTACGGGTACGGCCGGGTACGGGTACCCGTTTGCGACCCTGGTGCGGCCGGGCACAGGTAAGGAATCAAAACCCGTTTGCGATCTCTGCCCCGAACCCACGGCAATTCATCGAGTGATGGAAAAGGCCAATAAGTAACGTCTCCTGGTAAAGTAGCACCAGCGCAACCACTCCCTCTGCACCGCAATTGCAGGGCTCACGCCATCACCAGCCAACCTTGTCCTCTTCCCGTGGCCAATAACACATCAGCCACCTCCCAACTTGGGAGGTCAGCATTTCTTCGTCAGTACTTTATTGGTTAGTAAACTTACCGCGGTAATTATACGCTGTGTAACACAACATTTTTTTTGTTCTTGGGTAGTGTTATTTCCTAATTGCGTATGCCTCAAAAGTACAGAACATGGCTATTATTCCCCACAAACTTTGCTTTTGTGACCAGGACAGTGATATTTTGAAATGTACCTATTTTCAATGAGAAAACGGGCGAATTTGTGTCTTTCGTTCCCATAAAGTCCTGGTCACAAAAGCAAAGTTAGTAGGGAATACTATCCATTTGATATACTTTTTAGGCACACGCAATAAAAAAAAATAAGAATTAGTACCCAGGAACAAAATTGTGTTACATCGTGTTATATGTGACGTACACTCACAATCTAACTATACTTGACGTGACTCAAAGCAAAATCGTCTACCAACTAATGAAATGTATTACGGTACACTCTATACTTGTATCTCATTATTCAAATATGGTATAAACAGTTAAACAGATTACATGACGAACTTATTTGATCGGATGACTTCTCTTTCCAAGACGGAGTTCACCATCACCACCAAGTCCACATTAAATACACTTCACCGGGCCCGTCATATTGCACACGTTCGTGCCATTGCTGGCGACTGTAAACAGACACTAATATTACGTACGAGATAATACACATGGTGCACACACACGGGGTCACAAGCTATTCCCGCTTAAAAGAGGAAAGGGGGAAAAAAACATTTGCTAAACGGTTACACGAAATGGCCACGCAATTTATAAAAATAGCTTTGCTCATTTTCACTTTCAAGGTTAATCCATTTGTCAGTATTACAACCCATAATTAAAATAAAAAAAACGTTTGAAACTAGTTACTTGGGTCATTCAAAAGGACGATGAGGCTATGATTTCAATGCAGTTTGACAAGACTTTTGTTTCGGTTTTAAATGAACACGAGCCAATGCCATAGCCATGGACTTTTTTCGTGAATATATCGCCCTTTTTATATTATGATAGAATACATAACCGCGTTATCATTCCCATGGTGGGTGTTCTCCAAGATACTGAGTCATGCATTGAAAATGTGGAATTTCCCGCAGGCCCAAAGGACAGGAATGAGCACCATCGTTTGTACGAGCAGGGCAACACTGGTGACAACTTTTGTAACAAGATCAGCTCTATTTCATCTTGTCAAATGTAATTATTTTCTATTTATTATATTCATCTTGCTTCAAAACGGCTGCTCTCTACCCGTTTTACTATTTAATTAGTTTTAAATAAAAGTTTCTTGCAATTGTTTGCTTTTTACTCACAGTAACAATCCAATTGCGGTATTGGCATTGTTACGAGACGATATTTCTATGTTAAATTCATAGAATGGCCCTGAAAAATGTTCAAGAACTACTTCTTATCCGCACGAGAGGCACACCTTTTAAATGATTTGCAACGAGTGCTCATCGCATGCCAAGTAAAATGAAATGTCTGAGTCTAAGGAGAAAGAATTCATCCGATTTAAACGAACGCTCAAATGTAATGTCATGGAGGTTTTTTTGGCGTGCTGTCATTCGTGACCGGCTGAGATAATCAATCGGCGACACTTCGGATCATAATCGTCGGTCAGGTTTGAATGCAAAATCTCAACGGTGCACCAACAAAATGTAACTGCAACACAAATCCTCACAATGGCTGCATATATATATATATCTCAATATAATCCAATCAGGTCATTCCTAAACAAAGCTGACTTAGCTGTGAAAATAAATTCTCAACATTACCTCGATAGTTGAAAAAAAACCACTTCTTTTTTTAAAAACTGCATTGCATAAAAATGTTTATACTGCACAAGAATGAATATACCAATGTCAAAATGGCTATTTACACACGTAAAACACTGCACATCTATACATGAATCACAAAATCAATAATTTAAGCATAATTTCCTACCAAATTCAAAGTAGTTAATTATGCCATTAAGTTTCACGTGTTGGCCTCAATTGGTTTCAGGTGAAAGTTCTACTGCAACCTCTGCCTTACTTGACATTAGTTTACTAAACCTACTGGTGTGTTGGTCCTTACCAAAATTTCCAAGGGCATAATGCAATGGATTAATTTCCATTCCCTGAAATGTCTTTAAAGGGCTTCAAAATGTTGGGAAATGCACAACTCAGCACCATTTTCAACACTTACAAAGACTAGCAACTACATTGAATGAACGCGTACAAATATTGACCCGTGTGCGGCAGGCAAAAGAAATACAACCGTACTTACAGCTCACTATTAAAACAGATTCTCATATAGCGAAAGTCTCCCGTGGGAAAACAAGTGAGCAACTGCACCCTCCAACATGTGCAGTGCACAGCTCTTGTGAATGACAGCACAATGGCACAAAATGCACAGCATATCGCCATTAATAGAACCCGCATGCCTATACAATGGGTTATGATCAGTGAGAGGAGTGGGGGGGGGGGGAGCCCTCCTAATACAGCACATGCCAAACACTTAGTTTTCTGGTAGGCACACAAATCAACGCGATTGTTTCGCCCCCCACCCCCATGTCAAAAACACACACTCAACGTAATATAGCATCCCGGCATGCCCAGTAATCGGGGAAGGAACATCCTTTCTTTAAGTCCTTCAAAGTTGCTCAGTCTTGGTTCCACCTGTTCTCTTGACCAATGCCCCTCCAGTGCGGGTAGTGGTTGTTGTAGCACTGTCAACACAAATTCAAATCCAACGCGTCGTGTAAATGACGAGATCACCAACAACCGTAAAACAATAATACGGCCACACGTTCAGCTCTGCCGAGCAAGTGGCTTGGGCAAGGCCTAGAGCATTGGACATGCAATGTGGAGGTCATGCATGGCATGATGCGAGTCGTGCCTTCCTGCTGTTTGTGAGCAGCACACCTTGTGTGTGTTGTTACATCTGTCAATGCAAATGTGTAACAAGCAACTGAAGATCAGTGATTATTATTATTTGTGGGGAGAGAAACAAGATATACAAATATGTCAGGTCTTGCACAAAAAACTATACACTTCTGTTCATGTTCAACACATGCAGCTTATATTCTCTTGACAATACACTGGGTTGAGAGGGGCTTTGGTTGCGTATAGCTACAAGGTAAGAGACATGTGTTATTTACGTCTCCCAGCGAGGGGTAGGAGAGAGCAGCAGCGGCACTCGGGATCGGTGCCGACATATTGGTTGATTTATACTTGTTAAAAGTAGATTCTAAATTACAATTCTCCGAATGATTGTCTTAACAGCAAGATATTCTTTGTAACTAAATGTGGACATATCAGGGTCGATTGAAAGAGACCCGGTGCCTGCCATTACGCAATATTTTTTTTCAAAAAGTGTAGGCTATTTACACACAATCAGTGTGCTACAAAACAAGTAAAACAATGGTTTACTATTGTAGATAGAGGCACAGGCTATTTGACGTCCAATTTACAAACAACCTACTCTGCAACTTCCTTGCAGAAATTACTGTCATTGATTTGAATCACTGCCAGACATCAGAGCCGGTCACAGTGACAATCAGTTTTCATGTGATACTACCCCGCCAGCTGGTATCTTAGAAGATCGATGCACTCGGGAGTGAGCTATACTACTCCTGTGAACAATATTTATGAAAATGCAATACAGCTTGCCTTTTTGATTGCAGTCCAGTCTTCCAGTATATCCACCTCCTTCAGCATGTAGACAATGTACGGGCGTGCAAAGCGATTAAGGGGAAACAAAAACATTTGTTGTGGCGCTGGCCTTGAGAAAATAATCTTGTAACGCCTCTGTGCTCGGACCGACTACCATTATCAGCCATGTATATTATGACATGCTTTCGAATATGATTCCAACTCAACAAAACCTAACAACCCTCACGACGAGATTCTACTTAATTGTACATGAAACGCACGCTCATCGACAGCACATAAACAGAGGCCAAATAGATAGAGTTAATAATGGCTAGAGACTGCTCTTAACTCCATGGGGCCTGATTAGTATGACATTTCTGTTTATTTTCTATGACCAGTTTTTAAATGGGCATATATTTAGACTGATTGTAGCTATGAAAAACGGTAATGAATTATTGTAATACGTGACCTCTACTTTCAGTTGCATTTAGAAACTATGAATGTAAATTGTAAGACTGGTAGCACAACAGTGAATTGCACTGGTCCATTGTCTTTAAATAAAATTCATTGAAATGCATTTTTCACCATGAAACTGAAAGTAGTGGAATTTTACTTTGCATTTAAATGATTAAATCTGTTAAGTAAATCTAGTCAACGATGATGGCCGTGAATTTTTGCTGCAATTTAGTCTACATATTCTGCAATTTAATTTCAGTTCTCATTCACAAAATGACTAATCTATTAGTTGATATTGTTTCAATTAAACTTTGGCCTTTTTATCGAATGGTGCCAATATTAACTTCAACCCTTAAGTGGTCATTTGGAAAGAGCTTCAACAATTTGTATTTCTCACATGCACTTTTGAAAACAATGTCATGATTGCATTATGGGTTTATTTAGTACAGTGTTAAGTCTACCAGACAGTGCTGCGCTGTGGATCAAAGGCCCTACTTGCAACGAGAATGCTTCAAATTAAAAACCTTGACAGGGACTGATTAAACAATCTATCATCCCTTTTAGGTGAATGAAAGCTAACAGTACTTTTTTATGGAGACTGGCCTCCACTAAACTGGAATTCTCAACACTGGCTCAAGCCAATAAAACAAATGTAGTTCTGTCCCATTATTAGTTTGACCATGGGGACAAATGAGTGTTTTGAGTTTTAATAACGTTATGAAAAATAAATATCCTACTCCTGATTTACTTCAAACAAAAAGTTAATTCATGTTAGTTAACTGTTACCTATAAAGATAGGGTAATTGCAAGGTTGCAGTCCTGCACTCTCCTGCTCAGACTAGTACTCGCAAAAGTTCCTACACTAGAGCTCCTCTAAGAGGATAAGAGGCCTACTCTTCCATGGTAGCGCAACATCACTTTACTCCACAATCTTTCGACTAACCGGTGTACCCATTTATACTGTTGGATGAATAACACTGTGGCCTTACAAGACAAAGTATAATAGGTGACGTTTCAGGCACTGGTCCTTCTTCAGAGTACATCAGAGTTGGAGCCTGTACTTTACACCATGGGGACTGATAATATATTTTAAATGAACAGTTTTTTATATGGGAATATGAAGTTACATATTAGCAGCTACTGAGTAACAGGCAAACCTTTCCTAAATCGAAACATATTACTAAATAGAAACATTTTGCACAAAAGTACGTTCGTAAAATGTTGCTGGTAAGTCGTGCATATGATAAACATGATGCAAACGTTCAACACAAAGGATATTTGCGACAGTCACGGGCTTCTTTCGTTTCGCAGCACCAAAGACATCGGACTTTCGTTTGTTCCACTTGGAGGGCGCGTCATCACCCCATTGTTCTGCAAACAAAATTAACATGCGAGGTGAAGTCGTATGTTCTATCACAAAGAGTACATCATCTTCTTGTCGTGCTAATCCCACCCCTTGAATATGGACGTGGTAACCACACCATGTGTAAATGAATCAGCTGTGATGATGGCTGTATTTTCCATCAAACAATATTACATTACTTGATTACACATAGTCCGTGATATTTATGTTTAATCATCCATACGGTAGGGTCAAGGCAAGGTTGCAGACATACAATCCCTTACTCACAAGAATACTCACGAAAGTGCCTCCACTAGAGAGCTCCTCTGAGAGAGTAAGTAGAGATACGTCACTTTAACACACCACACGTAGCCTGCCAATCGATTAACTGGTGTACCCATTTATACTGTTGGATGGATGGAGGCAAACAGAGGGGTGGGGGTTGATCTCATAAACTTTTATGAATGGGGCCACATCAATGTAAAGTAATGTGTGTGAATTCATGTTAAAGATTTGCAAACCAGATGTGATGTCTGCATTGCATCGATCCTCCTCCAGACGGCGGATTCTTTCTTCAAGATCCCCACGCAGAGCTTCAAACACAAGTACCTTTTCATTCTGCCAGGAGAGGTTACCGAAAATTAAATATTCGTCTCAATGTGTTCTACATTGAGCCAAACAACCACGTGACTAAATAAAATAACTTTTGTTTTCGAAAAACTAAAGGATTTTGGACATTTCCGTGACAAACTAAATGGTGATACCAAAGTAATATTTCATACTTAAATTAAAAAAAACTCCACTTTTAATTCAGTGTATGCTATTTTGTAACGCTTCTGCTGGATGTGTTCTTTTACTTCTAAAACCAGCTCTCAATCCTTCCGTTGCCTTGACAAACAATGAGAAAATAGACCCAAGGACCCCCCCCACCCACCCCCCCGAGAGGTTTTAAACAAGCAGATCAGCTTAAAACACACAACACAGCACTGCTGTTACTCAGAGACGCACACACCTGCAGGTTTTGCATGGCTGCCTGCTTCTCACACTCATGCTTGTTTTTTACACCAATGAGGCACAATTCTCTGTAGACGCCTGAGTGAAAAAAGAAAAGAAAAACACTTCAGTGGGTGAAGCATCTTGTACAAATATCTGGTTGAAAAATGTGACTGTAAGAGGTTGGTTTGGCTCAGGCATTACAAGACAAATTAACCAACGAGTCTGGACAGCCCAAGCTGTAGCTGGGGGCAAGCGAGTGGGAGCCTTTTCCCATAAACACACATTATTGATTCTAGATTTGAAGCTTTCGTGACTGCTAGGATTCATACTCTTAGTTCTTTCGGTAAAGTCACGTAGGTAAAAAAATTAAGTAAAATTAATAAAAATAAAATAATAAAATCACGACGTTTCGGAGGCAACACAAGTCTCCGTCATCAGGTGGGACCGTCACAGCCAGATTTGCTGTATCAGGTGTTGGATGGATGGAGGCACCTGATGACAGAGACTTGTGTTGCCTCCGAAACGTCGTAATTTTATTAATTTATTTTTATTAATTTTAATTTCATTTTTTACCTACATGACTTTACCGAAAGAACTAAGAGTATACACATTATTGACACGGTGATTGCAATTTACTGCAGTACACAAGAAGAACACATTAACTGTCATAAAACAACCAAGTTTAAAATGTAAAGTTTAAGGCGATACATTTTTTTTTATAAACATTGCCTATCAGGTCTGTGGTCTGTTTATTACAACATTCAGCGATGGTAATCTAAAAATAAATGAGCATGTACGACGTTATACGCAACGTCAGTTGTCTACACACATGACAAAGCAATTTCAGGGCATGGCATTTACCTTAACGCAGCATTTATGTTTATACTGCATACCGTATACACTTATGAACTACCCATTACAATCATGATCAATCAGTGTTAAATATTCCCTAAGAAAGATCGTTGGCTATTCACCACGTGGTCACTCACTGCAACCTGAATCAATATGCAACCTATACAGCCGCTCACAAACTGAATTGCTATGCGTAAAGGTGCCTATTATTTTCTTCCGTAGAGGCAACAATGTATATTCAGTTAACATGGTTTGTTCATGTTACTTTTAAGTTGCAAGTTCAATATTTCTAGGTAGACAATGTCCAAGATGCTGGTGGTGATGAAGATGCGGACGGCGATGAAGATGCTGATTGTCATGAAGATGTTGATTGTGATGAAGATGCTGATGAAGATGATTTCATGATGATTGTGATGAAGATGAGGACGGTGATGAAGATGCTGATGATGAATATGATTTCATGATGATTGTGATGAAGATGCGGACGGTGATGAAGATGCTGATGGCGATAAAGATGCGGATGGTGATGAAGATGCTGATTGTGATGAAGATGCTGATGAAGATGATTATAATGATGATGAATACCTGCCACCTCTGTGCGGATCTCCATGTTTCGTCTCAGGGCATTGAGGGGCTCCATGTACTCTGGCCCCCTCTCTGCCGTCACCTCTTCCAGTTTGCTGTCCACCTGGTTGAGGCGCTCACGGTAAAGCCTACAACAAGTCCAAGATACGTTAATATTAGACAAAACCTAAATGGTGTGGCCCCCAAGCTCTAAACTTCAGTATTTTATAGCTCTCCGACATGTTAACGGGTTGAACCGCAGTGTTATTTGCGTGTCGCTTGAATGTGGCTGGCAGCTTCTTCAGGACTGAATTGAGCAGCTCACTTTCTCCCATGATTATTCCGCTCATATCTGCTGGTGGCCAGTCATGGAAATTCTACATTCCTGTGGCAGATGCCAGTCAATAATTGGAGCACGTGACAAAATTCTCCAATGGTTATTATACTTTGACAATGATGATTGAACCCCTCCAATAAAATGGTTCATACAAACGAGGATAGTTTCAAATGATAACCCTCTAACAGATGGCAGCAAATACAAAAGCCTGTATTTTTCAAAAATATGTAATGTTGTATAAAAAACAAATCGGCCTTGTTGCATCACTAAAAATTAAGCAATTCTAAATGTCAGTGAGCGTGACTTTAGAGTGCACACAAAAATAAAATTAGACCTGTAGTGCACGAGATTATACGAGTCATTCATGAGTATGGGACTACACATACTGGTCTCTGATGTCCATAAATTGTTGCTCCAAATCAGACATCTCGTCCAGACACTCCATCCTTCTCCTTTCACAATCAGTCTCATCAAGCTCTACACACGGCACACACAAGAATAAATATTAATGCATGGAATCGTTAAATATTCGATTTGTTTTCAAAGGAACGTGTTTTATTTAAACAATAAAGAACTAGCTTTTTTGCCCGTCCAAGGATGAGTGTATATTGCAGTAAATCTGAAATGGTCAATAGAAAATTTTTGACTTAAAACTTTCGTGACTGCAGGAATTAATATTCTTGGTTCTTTTGGTAACGTTTGCATCATGTTTAAAAATTGTTCAGCTCATGATTATTAATGAGGGGGGGGGGGTTGCCCCATGTGGAGTGACGTCACCTTCGAATGGTTATTGGGGAGGGGTGCAGCATGTGGAGTGCGCGACCTTCTTGTGCGTTAGTGTAAATTTCCACGCGGGCATGAATATTAATTAAGGGGGGGGGGAGGGCTCTTTTGCAGTGACGTCACGCACGGATGTAGCACTGTGCTGCGTATATTTAGTTTTTACAGTCACTTTCTGTAAAAAAACATCATATTTGAAGCGACTTTGCGTAATTTTTAAATCCTTTATATTAAGTTCCCTTGCTTGCTTGCGTGCATGCGTGCTTGCTTACGACCGTGCAAATCTTTCGGTCGTTTTTTAACCCACTTCCCGTGATCCAATCGAGCTGACATTTTGCACACAGACTCGTTGTGCGTGACAATTAATTTTCCTGAAAAAAAATATTCCTAAATTTTACACTGTTTAGGGAATTTTTTAAAAATATTTAATTACCAATTGCTTAATGGTGGCAGACAATCTGACCCATAGGTGGCAGCCATCTCAAGCCAGAGGACGAGAGGACTCTAGCCGCCCGTTTCATGATGACGCAAATGTTGACCAACCACATGGCATGAAATCCCTGCCGCCACGCTGTACAATGGAGACTATGTATAGAGCAGTTACATTGAAGCCGCCAGGTTCTTGAAAGTGGTAAAACGGGTCAACGCTAGTGCCCTCGGGAATATACGGGGCATGTCAAGAGGTGATCTTACATATAAAGGAATTATAGTGAAAAACTTAGTTTTTACGGGTTAAATTTTTTTTATTCAGCTCGACCTTCCTGTGTTGGTGTAAAAATCCACCCTCATGAATATTAATGAGGTGGGTGGGCCTCATGTGGAGTGACGTCACGCGGGAGGGTGGGCCTCATGTGGAGTGACGTCACGCGCGGGATGGACAGTAATTTCTGGGTGATTATAGTAGGTAATGTTCAGCATTAACGAAAAAAAGTCAACTGCAACACCTTCTTATGCATTGTGATCACGATTAAAAGCACCACACAGGGTTTCATCCTTGTCAGCTTTCGAAGTCTAACGGGATCGGGCCCATTCCTGGTTGTTTTGGTCAACACGTGTACAGTATACAGTACATTATGGCTTTACTGTAACCTCTCCCTATCGCATGTTGTTGTTATTATAATCAACGATTTTTGGGTTTAGATCGCGTTTATTTATAAATGTGTCGTAACCCTCCACCACCCGACACGGCCAATCAGTAAAAATGTGTCACGTTGACAAAGACAAATAGTTCACTGCTTTAGCCCACCGGTGTGTTGAAGCAACAACATTTACAATTTGAGTACGACGTTTCGCTGGTAATTGCAACCAGCATCATCGGGCAATTCGCCAGAATGGTGAGGCTCTCCTGTGTCTCCCGTTCTTATATAGAGCAGCAGCAGGGTGACGTCATCATTAACTCATCAGGTGCAAAGATTCAAGGGGGGGAGTGATTGTAATTATATACTAGATTAGTAATCAGGCTATTGTTACGATGCGAGTTTTAGATTAGTAATCATTTGGAATGTGCTTTATTGTGATTATGCTACATTAGTAATCAGTTAGTGGTTGTTTCCCTTATAAGTAATTGTAATGTATCTTATTTAATAATACGCTTCCAGGCCGCACTAAGCCTGTAGCTCTCTGAGCGATTAAAGTTATTTCTGTTTCTCTCAATTTCAACACTTACACAGGGCATTGTGGTGTAATTGCGGGATGTGCATGGACCGCGTGTCCAAAAGCACTTCCACCGCGGAGATGGAGCGATGGATTCAGCTCACAGTCGATTTTTTTTTTTACATCGCGGAACCGCGAGGCATTGGTAAAAGTGCGTGCGGATGGACGCTGGGTTATCGTCATGTATGTATACAGAACTTATTTCGCACAACACGCGATAAACGCGTACGAATTCCACCACACCCCGAAGCGAGCATAGGCCGAAGCCTCGACCTCGCCTGGCCACGTTACCCGAGGAGGCGTCATCGTCCTCGGTAGCGGAAAGGCTGCTGCCGGCGTCCGAGCTTTCGTCTCGCTCCAGCGCGAAGCGGCTCATGTATCCCACGGCGCGCTCTTCCCTCTTGCTGCCCACCGTCTTCGAGAGGCTCGGCATGGCTGTAAAATTTTTAAATCTATTTAAAAATTAACAATAAACAGCTTTAAATATTAAAGACGCCGCGTACCTCGTCTGACTCTATACCCAGCGCGAGAGCGGGGCGGGGGAAGGGGGGCGTGGAGAGCTCCACCAATCACGAGCCGAGCTGAGCGACCACGTGATCGCGCGCAGGAAGACCAGGGTGCCATCAGGTCGTCATCGTTGACTCACAGGGCGCGCAGTGACGTAATCACGCAATCCGGGGTTCACCGAGCGTGATGACGTCAATCCGCGAAGCGACTGTGTTGACGTCATGACGTTAGCAGAAGCCGAGGCTTCGGCCAATCACAATCGAGGAAAGCGGAGCGCGAGCCCTATATAAGGCGGGGTTAGGTAAGCGCGGGAGGATTCCGCCCCCCCTGGTTATTGTGACCAATAAGAAATCCCCCAATGCCAGAGTGCAGTGCAAAAAGTAAATACTTGTACCGTAATTCTAGATTTGAAGCTTTCGTGACTGCAATGATTCAAATTCTTAGGTTTTTTCAGTAAAGTCACGTAGGTAAAAAACATTATAAACGGAGTGGTAGCTTCTGCAATCTCTCATTTACTTGATACAGTTGTCGTGGCTGTGACGGTACCACCTGAAGACGGAAGCTTGTGTTGCCTCCGAAACGTCGTGATTTTTATTTTATTTTACTTTTTAATGTTTTTTACCTACGTGAATTTACCGAAAAAACCTAAGAATACTTGTACCGTATTCTCCTTATAAGACGCAACACAGGGACTCCTCGACTTACGAACATTCGACTTACGAACTTTCAGAGATACGAACAAACCAGTTGTCCAGTTGGCCGTTAAGACCGAGAGTCGTAAGTTCAACCACCGCGAAATAAATGACGGTGGTGGCATCTACATCTGCAGAACATGAAGAACCAGTGGCATCTACATCTGCAGAAGAGTATTCAACTCTTAAAGCCAGTCCCCGTGGTTAGTGTACATCAAGTTCAAGTTCATTTATTAGGTATAGCCCTGTGAGCCATTCGGTTCTTGAATCGGGTGCAACCGCAACAAACAAAACAAAAACATGAACAAAAAAACATGCCGAACAACATGAAATCAACAGGAGTAAATTTGCACTTACGAACACATCGACTTACGAACAGACCCTTGGAACCTCTAATGCGTTCGTAAGTAGAGAGGTCATGCATTCTTTGGCTCTTTCCGTAAAGTCACGTAGAAAGAAAAAAAATATTTAAAAAAGTAGTCATATATATTAAAAAACAACAGTTGCAAGATGGCATGCCACTCCATGCATCATAGTCATTTAAATCACAAGCTGAAGGTCATAGACACATAGATGTATAATTATTAATCAAGATTGACTTGAACATGATTCTTAATTGGGATGACAACATCCTGGCAACATTAAACTAAAACCCAGTCAATGATAATATCATACGAGACTGGCAAATGACCAATTTCGCACATCTTTCATTGAATGGCTGTACAGTATTACTATTCTAGCCTAAGGATGCATTGAAGAAGATTATCCGTCGGTAATTCAAAAGCATTCTTTAAACTGAACAATTATTGCTACCAATTAAAGCACATGCTCACTTGAAGCTGGAATACTGTTATTAGGAAGTCACTAAAGCTTATTCACTTTTAAATCTAGATTGAAAACTCATTTCTTTAGAACTTATATTTTGTGTTTAGTTTGTTGTCCTTCCCCCGGACCTCCGATGAGAATGGTTGGCTAGGTACGGTGCAACTTGAAAGGATTGACGTAAATTGATCAAGGCCGTAATTAAAATATATATTGGAGGAAGGACACATCTCCCCCCAATATTCAAATATGCTCAAAATGTCCCCCCCAATATATTGCTATAAAATAGATTTCTGTTAATATGATTGCGGTTATGGTTGTACTTTATTAATCCCTAATCTCTGCCATTACATACAATGAAACAAGAAAAGGTAAAAAAGAAAAAAAAAACAGAGCAATGTAATAAATACACTATTGGACATTATTGTAAAAAATAAAAGAAAAAGTCCATCCTATGTGTTAGTGAATTTTTTTTATATTTTAGGCAGGAAATGGCAAGAAATTGGTTTTCAAATTTAGATGTTTTTTTCTGGGGGGGACCCCCAGACCTCCTGGAAGATTTGGTCCCCCCCCAATGTTGACTCCATGGCTACGGCCTTGAAAATGATAATTATCAATCATGCTAACTGATTCATCCGCTGACCGGTGCAGGTCAATCACCTCCCTATCACTCTTATATCGCTACTAGAATGGTTACTTTTCTGTGAACTTCGCTCATCGATTCATCTTAGTGTAGCTCTCCTGGGTAAATAAACAACTAACAAAACTGCGAGAGTGCCGTTTGTTGCTGACCGCTTGGCGTTTTGGGCCTTTTGCATGCTCGGCATGATTTTAATAAACCACCACGAACACTGTGCTGCCGTGGTTATAATGGTCAACACACACTGGGCTTGCGATCCAGAGGTCACAGGTCAGATTCGATCTCCGGGGCGAGGCAGTTTAAACAATTGGGGAAAGTTTCTTAAATCCCGACGTCTTTGTCCTACCCAGCAGTATAAATGGGTTTGGTCGCCTGTGGTGGTTTAAAGTGTGTGTAATCCCATCACTTTCGAGACGACTGGCCAACTAGTGATGAAGGAGGAGGCCGATTATATAATCGAAGACTAGAGGCCCGCGAAATCATTTGGTGTGGCCCTGCCAAGGCAACCGCAGGCGGAACTCGAAATTCAATAAATCTAGGAGCAAACCTGGAAAAGTAGTTGTGAGTAGCAGCAACATCATCAATACCAGCTAACATCACACGCCTCGCCAAATAGAAGCAGTTCTAGCCATCGCATTAGGGGTGAGTTAATTAAATGTTTGACCAAATATAACAGGCAAATGTTGATGTTATAAATATCCAAATGGCCCTTGGCAGAAAAAAGGTTCACCACCCCTGATCTCGATCAAGCTTTCCCAAACTCAAGTCCTCGCGACCCACCACTGGACATCTTTCCGCGGTTACCACTCTTCAACCCACCACATCGTTCATTGCTTAGCACGTCACGTTGGACGTGTTTAACAATCATCGTGGGACGAGTTCATTTGAAATTAAATATTGGAGGGGGGATGGGGGGGGGGGTGGATGTAAATTGGTGAACGCGGAAATACAGTGGTGGACCGCAAAGATCTGAAGTTTGGCAAGCCCTGCTGTGGATGTTACTTTCTATGGCAGCGGTCGGGAACCTATGGCTCGCGAGCCATATATGGCTCTTCCAGTGACGGCATATGGCTCCCAGACAATTTTGAGTTGAAAAAATAAAAATAAATCAGTTTGGAACTGATTTTAAAATACTTGTGATATTACTTAATAATACTGTGTCATTTTAAAGTAAACAGAAATTAGTTTTGAAGATAAATTTCACGGGTCACGCCTGCACGAAGCTCAACCTCACCAAGTCGTATGAACCAGACTACAAGGCCATCAGCAAAACCACGCAGCACCAGAAGTCGCATTAAAAGTAAGACATTTAATTTATTATACGTTAAAAATAATATATGGCTCTCAATGAAATATATTTAGAAATATTTGGCTTTTATGGCTCTCCCAGTCAAAAAAGGTTCCCGACCCCTGTATTATATGGATATTCTTCCACTGGCAGTGACGTGAGTGCGCCGTTGCAGGGCTGCGCCTCTACCCGACTCCGCCCCGCATCCACCAGACTCGCCCCGGTTCGCCCTCTGTCCGTGTCGCACTGCAGAGCCGAACCCTGTAACCACCGCTACCACCACACCCACAACACACACACCTCGTGCTTTATTAATTATCCCTGCCGTGGTAGTGATGCGTCTCAGCATCGCTTCCGCGCTGTTACCCCGGATCCAAAGGTCGCTGCTGCACACGGGAAGAACAGCGCTCAGCATGCCCATCAAGGTGAGTGCGCCAGCTTCGTAGATAAAGATTCCTCTCCCCTCCCCACACACACCACCATCATCAATCACTACCACGTGCATTGCGGTGTGGCAAGCTACAGCCTCCAACAACAACAACAACAGCGGGTTGCTGTGTGGGGCCAAGCGCTGTTGACGATCGCCGGTGAAGGTCGGCATGGCGGGAGGGGTGGGCGAGTGGTTAGCGCCGCGGCCGTCTTTGTTTTTAAACACCGGGTACTCCTTTGAGGCCGAGTCTACCTAGGTGTGGGGGGCTGTGTGGGGGGCTCAGGAACGGTTCGTATATTCATCGCTGACATTGGGAACCGTGAGCGGGATTGGAACTGGGGTGGGTCGGGTTCGTAGTGCAGCGCGCTAACCACCATTACCATCACCACCATTACCATCACCACCGTCACCATCACCACCGTCACCATCATCATCATCACCACCTCGTACAGCAGCATCTGTGGTATCGTTGCTGTTGGTAGTTGTTGTGGTGGTTGTGTAGAGTACGCGATGTGAGCGCGGCCTGTGCCAGCAATGCCCTCGGAGGGCCTCGTGTGTGAGTGGAGCCACCATTGTGCCACCATTGCAGTGGGGGGCATTGCGTGACACTAACACACGTGGTGGGTTTAGATTTAAAGCTTTCGTGACTGCAGGGATCCATCTTCTTGGTTCTTTCGGTAAAGTCACGTAGAATGGAAATAATAAAATAATAAAAATAAAACATAAAATAATTCTCACGACGTTTCGGCCACAACGCAAGCAGCCGTCCTCAGGTGAAGAACAGGTCTGTCTTCTCGACATACCTGTTCTTCTCGACAGATCTATTCTTCACCTGAGGACGGCTGCTTGCGTTGTGGCCGAAACGTCGTGAGAATTATTTTATAGTTTTATTTTTATTATTTTATTATTTCCATTCTACGTGACTTTACCGAAAGAACCAAGAAGATGGATCCCTGCAGTCACGAAAGCTTTAAATCGAAATTTAACAGCGGATTGCATTAATAACACTGCGTAGCAAAAACGTGTTCTTTGTTCCTGGGTAGTAAGTGTTTTTTTTAATTGCTTATGCCTCAAAAGTATATAAAATGGCTATTACTCCCCACAAACTTTGCTTTTGTGACCAGGACACAAGCCAAGTTAATAATCCACTCAATAACACTGTAACAAACATTTTTTTTGTGCCTGGGTAGTAAGTTATTTACTTATTGCTTATGCCTCTAAAGTACAGAACATGGCTATTATTCCCCACAAACTTTGCTTTTGTGGCGAGTGATGTATGAACCCCACCCCTTCAAACAACCCGAACTAACAAGTGTGGTGAAGTATGGTCAACCACCATGATCCATCAGGGGTTTGTTAACGCCTTCATCCAACAATTGAAATATAATGTACGTATGTTATGTAATGTAATGATTTCATTCGTGCTCCTGATATCGTTACTCATTGGAAGCCAACTCGTCCTGTGTGGCGACTGGCCCCCGTCATGGGATTGTGGAATTTCCATCACTGAATCGGGGCCCACCATTCGAGCTTAGTGCTAGGCCTCGGCAAGGTAAGGTAAAAGTTAAAAGGTAAAAACGAGCCTACCTTTACCCTACCTTTTACCCTTACCACTTACAAATTACCCGATTACAGGGTAATTACTAGGGAACTACTACACATGAACAAGGTTTATAACGGTAAATGCTATAAGGTAGAGCGCTTTAATCATATATAATACTCTCTGATTCCAATTTTACACGCTTTTTAACTCACTCTGTTGTTGTCGTTATTGTTGTATCCTCAAATCTTGAAACTCAATTTTTACCCACTTCCTAATGTATCGACTGCAAACTTGGTATACTTTGGTCATACTGATGACAATACTATATTCTATCATAAAAAAAGATGTTTTTAAACATTATTTTGTATACGTTATGTCTCGGCTTGGGTCTAATTGTCCACGCTCAACTGACGTTGGCTGTAATTGGCCACGGCCCCTTGCGTCGTGGCAAGCTTCGGGGCCACTTCCTGGAGTCGTGGAGTTCTTCCATTACTAGTACGGTACATTTTATTAAAGCGTGTTTTTTAAAAAGTTTTTTTAAATATTACTCTTTTTTTTCAATATACTTGAATATACTTTAAAAGACTGATGCTGGCCATCGAACGAAGGCGGTCACCGCATCGCGCGCCGCTTTCAGACGCGCGTTCTGTGGCCGTCTGGAACGCTCTTCCTTACCGATATGAGGAAGTCATTGGGAGCTCTGCCACTTTTAAATTATCAACTGACGTTGGCTGCAATTGGCCACGGTCCCTTGCGTCGTGGCAAGCTTCGGGGCCACTTCCTGGAGTCGTGGAGTTCTTCCATTACGAGTACGGTACATTTTATAAAAGCGTGTTTTTAATAAAGTTTGTTTTAAAATTACTTATTAAATGTAGGCCACGGACTGCGCCACGGAGCTTTTAGCGGTAAACAAGGCACCGTATTTACCGGGTAATACTTTGCGCTACTTTTACCCTACCGGGTAATTCTTCCGAGCTACCTTTACCGTACCCTTGACCTTACCCCTTGGCATGTCGACACCTTTACCCTTTTACCCGGTAGAAATGGTAAATTACCTTACCTTGCCGAGGCCTACTTAGTGCTGCAGCATTTATCAGTTGAGAACGTAGAAACAGTAATTTTTTAATGCGTTTCAGTATTGCATCTGCTGAAAAACAGCACACGTGACAAAGGTTCGACAGTGGAGATTTGTATAAGAAAAGGTTTCACCCTTTATGGAAATAAAACAGCTGTTAAGATGTGTCAAACGCCAAACAGAAACCTTTGGCAAGGAATAATGTCTGCATTAACCACACAATTGTGGTGAACATGCAAACAAACATGTAAACAAAACATGCAGATTTGAGCACTACCCAGTCCGTGTTTGAGCCCGAGGTCACCAACACTTTTAAAATGCACTCCTGTGAATGTGCACTACTTGCAGGCTGATACAACTCCACTTAAATTTAATAGGCGTCTAAATACATCATGGATTGCCCTCGGGGCATGGTTAGGGAACGCTTTTCTTACTGAGAACCGAATAGGAATTTTAATTAACTTTGGTGGTCAAACCACACCAGACAAAGATCCCCACCATAGCCTTTCAAAGTGCTGTTAGTCAGCACCTATGAAGGCCACACCAACATACGGATGGACACGGCGCTCCGTCGTTTCTGCTACTGCTCGAGGTCCTTCGCAGTGACAGGAGCGCGACTACACGTGTGCTAAAATTAGAAACGCTGTTGGCAGGACGAACATATCCCCATCTATCCGATTAGTTCAGCTAAGACGCTTGCAGTGACGCATACATATCGATTGTGGGCTGTGTCAAAGTGGTAGGCCTCGTGTGGCCATGGACCATATGAAATGGATTTGCGGACTGGATCCGGTCTGCACGCCATGGGTTTCCCACCACTGCTGCAGATGAAGGGCTTGATGATCAGGAGGAGGATGCAGCAGTGCATAGCATAATACAGTAAGACTCTATATAGGTAGTCCTCTACTTACGATGGAGATGCGTTACGACGATCCCATCGTAAGTCGAAAATATCGTAAGTTGAAGATGGCCTACAGCCTACCCAGGAGTCTTAAAGAATGGTGATAATTTAGCAAAACAGAGCAATTTACAGTACCGTATTGTATAATCTATATACTGTATTTATTAATTACAACTGTGTTGCACAGTAAAATGTAAAGTAAAAAAAACAAAGTCAATTCTTAGCCTACCTATATGAACTGCAATTTAATAGAAAGTTTTTTCAAGAAACAATCCTATCTGCTATAAAAAAAACTTGTAACATGCATTGAACGTATCATATCTTGGTAAACCTTAAAATGAAATCGCTAAAGCTACGTATCATACATGCATTGAATGTATCGTTACGTATCATATTGTGCTGTACTCACCAAGATTCTGTCCGTCGTCTGCATACTTGAACGATGTTAGGTTGTTGATGGCAATTTTGTCGTATCGCCATCGTAAGATCGAAATATCGTAAGTCGGACCATCGTAATACGGGGACTACCTGTACTAAACTCTCCACCCCTGTGCTGGTCAAAACCACCAGCAATTTGCTTCAATGCCTCCTATTGTCTGTTTACATGTGCATGGGGTGATAGTTACCTTAGGACTCTGAAGCTATGGTGGAAATTGAACATCACTATGACGGAGGCCAGTCTTGCTACAAGGCAACGACTTTTGATTTCTATCAAAGTGGTACTTTATTTTATCAAACCAAAAAATAAACGGCCTGAGTAAACCAGCATTCGGTCGTTGAGAGCATTGTCTCAGCTCTTGTCCTTAGCCTTCGCTTAGAGGAGCCGGCCTTAACCGACCTTGACACCGGTCTCGAACCAAAAGGCTCCTGGCCTCAACCCCAGCCGTGGCTCCGTGAGTCCCAGCATGAAATGTAAGACTCGAGTGAACGCACTCCCAGGTCTTTGTACTTGCGCCCATTCAGGTTGCAAGTTGAGTGGTCTGCCACGGTTGGCACCCAGTCACGTGTGCTACTTTCTCACACTCTTATGCACATGACACGCTGTCAATTGTAAATTGCACATAGGCTTTACCAATACCGTTGGGCAAGGTCACCCATGCACTGCTGCTAAGTTCTGCTGTCCCGTTTCTGGTGCAGGTAGGAGAACGACTGCCCAGCGTGGAGCTGCAGGAAGGCCAGCCCGGCAACACGGTCAACGTTGCCAAGCTCTTCTCTGGGAAAAAAGGAATCCTCTTTGCCGTACCCGGGGCTTTCACTCCTGGCTGCTCAAAGGTGGGGGCAGTGGCAGCTGAGTATACAGCAGATGTGCAACATTTTGACCCGTGCTTTTAATGCGTGCGGGATTGGGCGTAACGGTGGCGAGAATGTTATTAACAACCTCGCCTGGTATACATACAGAAGGTCGTAGATTCGATCCCAACCCTGACGCCTGTATACTTGGAGTTTGCGTGTTCTCTCCGTGGTCGCGTGGCTTTTTCTCCAGATCCTCCAGTTTTTCCCTCCGCATCTAAATGCATGTTTCTAAATGTTACACTGGCTAAGCCATGGCACATGGCGCATTGAGAGAGTCTCCTTTTGTTTGTCCATGGAGCCCAGTGTGTGGAGAGGAATTTGAAACCGTGATCGAGGCGCATCGTTCTGTTGACAGAGCTTTCATTTGAGTGGTAACTCGCCAGCTGTTGCTAAACACAAGTGTATTTAAACTACCATATTACCTTGGTTTAATCATCATCAACACCCTTGCTTATTTCATTTGTTTCTGAGCCGCAATTGCAGTCGCACATTGCTTATGTAAGTCATGATAAAATGAAAGCTATAAAACATATGGGTTACATTGTCTGTGGGGTGTAAAAGAACACATTAAACATATCTTCAGTTGACCTCTCATGGTATGGATCCACATTGTTAAATTTATACATCATTGAAACATTGAGTTTATGCATTTGTTATGACTGTAAGTCTGTGTCTGCTATTTATTATCTAACAATGGAAACCTTTTCATATATCAACTTTCATCGAGGCACTACACAGGTTTTATACCCTTTTCACATTTTTCATTGGCATTTTTGGCTGCTTTTTGCTCTTGGTAAGATGTCAGACATTCTGTTCTCTTCTAAGGCTTTGTTAATGATTCGCCCTTATGTGGCCAAACCAAGTTTTGGGTTATAGTGGCTGGTCGTGTGAGGTCGTATCCATGGATACGTTAGTCACCGGCCTGTTGGTCATTGGAGATTTTGCCCGGGTAAGTCCCTCAATGTTGAGTTGGAAGATCCTCATTGCAGGACCTATCTGGAAGTGTCTCGTTTGGCCCTGTAAAAGCGAGGGCCATTGTTGTGCCTTGAGTTGTTGCTCCTGGAGGCCAGGAGATCATTGATCGATGTTCGGTCGCCGGGTTCATGGCATTAATCATGATTTCTCACTTAACCCTTTCCCGTTTTGGAGACGACTGCAGATGGGTCCCGGTCACCGCCGTTGTTTTTAAAGACATTGTACTCGCAGGCAAAGAACTGTCGCGACACGACCGCACTCTGATAGCTGTTGCCAAACTGTGCCACAGACCTCCTCACACATGGCCTTGTGAGAGCCTCGGTACAGATAAAGTTATTTTTAGTTTTTATTCTGATTCGGCGATGTTTTTTCCAATGACGTACCTGTACGTCGTCAGAACAGAACCGGAAGAAAAACTGATGACGTACACATACGTGATCGGAACGGGAAAGGGATAACAGAATGGGCCACATGAAGGCTGTCATCGTCCGCTCCCGTCTTCACGATGACAAGAGTGCAACACCAATGTAAAGAAAAATTAACGACAAGAAATTGCGCGTTCCGTTGATTCTCTGCAGACCCACTTGCCGGGCTACATCGCCAAGGCTGAGGAGCTCAAGTCGAAGGGGATCGACGTGATCGCCTGCGTGGCCGTCAATGACGTGTTTGTGATGACCGCGTGGGGCGACGCGCACAACGCAGCCGGAAAGGTACGGTTCAACCATCTGTACTTGGGATGTAGCTGAATTTACGACCTGACATCTACAGGAGTACCAGTTTTACGAGAATTATGATGACCACCATTTTAATATCTTTGTGTCATGGGGTCCGTTGCATAACAGGGTATTTGTCAAAGATAAAGGTGCAGCCCTGCAATACGTTTCTTAGACCACAACTGGCAGAAAGACCTCCACTAGGGGCCCACAGTCTTGTTAGAAGTGGAATACCCACATTTAACCCCAGCGCATAACCTACCAATAAACTCCCTGGTGTAGTACCCATGTTATACTGCTGGGTGTACATAGTTGAGGACGGTGGGGGAGGTGATTTAAGAGACTTGCCACTGTCGTTTTAACCGCCGCGCCTGAAGATGAACCGGCCACCTCCTGGATTGCAAGTCCAGCGGGCTTAGCCATTGCACCGCGGCAGCGTTCCAGTGATTGTCATTCTCCCTTGGTTTATCTGAATTGGTGTAAGAGGGAAATGTTCGCTTCGGCGTGTTTCTCGGGCAACAGCCACGGGGTCTCCCGTTGCAAGAGAAGACGAGAGGGTTTCGTGTCGCAAAGGATTCTCGGCCGCGGGCGTGTTGTTGTAATACATCTATCCATATCAAAGACGGGGAATACAGAGAGAGGGGATTGTATCAATGGAATACAAAAATGAAACCAATCTTTTGCAAGGGGGAGGGGGTGGGTAGAAATAATAGGGGCATCGCTTTATTCTTGGATAATTCCGACCAATGAGTTCCTTCCTTCCGATGTGTCAGATGTTCAAACGCGGCGGTAATCGCGGAGAAACGAAATGTCATTACGTTCTGAACTTGAGAGGCACTTGTAGTCCAGTGGAGTTGCAGAACGTAGTTACGATGGTACGTGCACATGTTATTTTCTTGTTTTAAGTGTAATAATATCCTTTGCTTAGGAAGAGCCCCGACGTGCATTTTGTTTGGAGGGCACTCGGGATGGTAGGCCAATTCTTTCATGGGTATTTGAGTGTTTTACCCGTGACGCAAATCGCCCATGCTAAGCAGGGTTGAGCTTTGATGGTATTGGGATGGGAAACGCACCATGCTTCAAACAGACGTGGTTGGCTACTGCTGGGTCACGTTGTCAGGAGAGGGCAGGGCAGCAAAACTCATTATTGTACTGCACCATGCTCCAAATTCTATGCTGCCTGGCATCACCAACCCGCACTGGCAGGCCAAAAGCCTGTACGTATACGTGTTGTTACATGCGAGAGGGAAGTTGACGTTACTCTATGAAAACACATGCTCACGATGGAATATAACACTCAAGTGAAAAGAGTATGGGACATGTTTTCTGTATTAACATGTGCTGGGCCATCTCATGGCCCTTTTTCAAGTTTGGAGTCTCACAGTAAACAACATTTGTTTGATTCGTCGACTCTTCTTCTTCCAAAGCACTGTGTTACTCACAAAGACCACTCTTCCCAACCAACATGGTTTCAAGTTCTCCTGATATGATTTCGAGATGTGCCGCTTGTAATTCGGCGCGATGTCCGACATTTTTGCCGCACATGCTGGGAGCCCTTTTTCGGGCACTTCTTCGGGAGCTGGATAAGCTCCCAGAACGCAGAGCGAACCGTCGGACAACGTGCAAAATAACACCGAAAACACAATCTGTCTGGGCGATAAACACCACAGCTGTGAAAATCTGACGCAGAAAATGTTGAACGTTTACGAAATGTAATGGATATTGTGATGGGTGTTTTTTTTTTAGGTGCAGATGTTGGCCGATCCTACTGGAGCATTCGCAAAGGTACTCGTGTGATTTGTGCTTTCATCCTCTTTTAACTGTGAGGTGACGAGATGCATTGCTTATGAACCTCGTAAAAGCTGAGCAAGTACAACAGTAAGTCGGGACAGAGTCACTCCTTGTGCCAATGAGCAGTGTGGCCGAGCCTGTCACTTGTCCATACTGATCCAGTGCTAGAAATGTTTCATTCCCCCATGGCAGGATCCAGTTTCTCCATTGGATGACCACTGCTTGACTTCCCGTGAAGTCCTTGCTCAATGTGGTCAACTCCCAGACTGTCAATTCGCAACCTTCCAAAATCCAAAGGCGTAAAAAAAAGAAAAAAGGATTTGCGTTTTTTTTACTGGCGATTTGAGAGCTTCGTTCGAGGGGAAACGAGCCGTCACATTTTGGACACATCTTGATGCACAAACTCCTGCAGCAAATTGCGCTCGATTCAATTGGCGGTTGACGTTTGAAGTTGACCGACCATCGCCCCCCCCCCCCGCCCCCCCGTGATCCGTGGATCAAACAAATCACTCGCACTCGACGCCGGTGTATGGCGGCTAGAGCAGTTTATGCGAATGGTGTCGCAAGAGGTCACATGTTTTTTATCTAGCCGCTTCATTGACCCCAACTAAACCGCCTAATATTTAACCTCACCATTGCGGTGCCCTGCTTCGGTCTAGCCAAAGGGGGGGGGGACCCCACGTGGCAGCTGTCCCTGTGTGGAGTACAAGGTGAATGCAGTAACAGTCTGCAATTGGGCATTAGTCTGTCCGTAGTTAACATCGCCACGGTGGCGATGTTAACTACCTCGCCTGGTATGCCGGAGGTCGTGGGTTCGATACCGACCCGGAGTTCGTGTCCGCTTTGCAACAGACTTAAAACTGTCGTGTTATCCCATTGAGCTTGCACTGTGTGTAATCAACGCGGCGGTGCGTTCGTGATGGACTGGACTTTTAAGGGTGCGCGAAAACAAATGTTTGGACTTAAACGCTTGCTTGACTGCCGCTGTGTTTCTTTCTCAGGCTGTCGACTTGGTGATTGACAAGGAGCCACTCATCTCGATCCTGGGAAACAAACGCTCGCAGAGGTATTGCAGAGTTTGCCTCCTATTGCCACGGCGTGCTCACCTTGATAGAGGCGGACAGCGGCTATATTCGTCCCAGACTCCACTTCTGCTTCAGTAACGTTAACATGAACTGCTACGCCTTTGTTATTCTTGAGCATTGGGCATGATCCCCTCTGCATGTATAATGTGGTCCTCTCACAATGGCGGTGAGGGGGGGGTGTAAGCGGGAGGGTGGGGAACGGTATATGTATGTTGAACTTCTCTCGCACCGTACGTAGCCAACCGTTCGAATTGGTGATGCGGAGGGAAAGGACAACAACCTAAACACAAAAAGCAGTTCCAAAGAAATTAGTTTTCAATCTAGATATCAAAAGTGCATATCATGAAGAAGAGCGTTCCAGACGGCCGCGGAAGCGCATCTGAAAGCGTGTGATGCGGTGACCGTCTTTGTTCAATGGCCAGCCAAAAGCCGTTGCTGCGAGGATAACCGGAGTTCGTGTGACGGTTTATGCTCCTTGACGAGATCAACGATGCATCGTGGTTCATTTGTGGCAGGCACTTCGTGTGTAATCAGTGCGACCTTACAATGCATTCGCTCGGCAATGGTGAAGAGCGCTTCCGCAGAACTACTTCGAGCGACGGGAATGCCACCGAGCGCGACGTTGACCGCCTGGGTGCTGGTTGCGCGTGCGCCTGGCCCCGCAGGTACTCCATGCTCGTTGAGGACGGCGTCGTCAAGCAGCTCAACGTGGAGCCAGACGGAACGGGTCTCACCTGCAGCCTAGCCGAGGGCATACTTTCCCGCATGTAGGCCGACCGATGCTGTCATCCCTGGCGCCCTGGAGCCAGCCCATCGCCTCCATACAGGAGGGGTTCCAAGGTTCTGGTCTCAATGTGTGAGCACTTGCTTTTGCCCGTTTTGTTATCCCGATTTACTCGACGATAGGATTCTGCTTGCTGTTGATGTTGTCTGTAAGCAGCTGCCGTGCACGCTCAGGTGTACCGAGGATGCACTTGCCTTGGAAATTAAGACATAGAGTAAAACCTCGTATTGCGAGCATAATTCGTTCCGGAAACGTGCTTGTAATCCCAAAGCACTCGTATATCAAAGCGAATTTCCCCATAAGAAATCATGGAAACTCGGATGATTCGTTCCACAACCCAAGCATATTCATGTAAAAATTATTAATACAAAATACCTTTTTATATTTATATTATTTAAATTTAATATAAAGTAATCAAATTTATTAATTACATTTAATCTTGGCTGGTGTGAGGGAGATGAGAGAGAGGAGAGGAGGAGGGGGCCATTGTTGCAATACAGTTACTAAAGAACAGTCACTACACTTGGACACAAATTAAAAAAATGCTTTACGCACACACTCGTGGGCACAACACTACAGTAAACAGTATACGCTCGCACGGATGTTGACTATACAAGTGAGGCACGCCGACTGAGACCGAGCATGGGAGACGATTACCCACAATCCCGCAGCGAGAGAGAGAAGAACCATCGGCTCAGTTGTGATCACGTGACGCTCGGCAGACAAAGCGTATACTGTGCGTACTACTCGTATTGCAAGACCTCGCTCGTTTATCAAGTTAAAATGTATCAAAAAAGTTTGCTCGTCTTGCAAAACACTCGCAGACCAAGTTCCTCGCAATCCAAGGTTTTACTGTAATTGGGTACATTTGACATTGGTGCCATTCTCGTAGTGTTCAAGGCTACCGTCACCAGTGAAATGTTACTGATACGGATAGTGTTGAAACACTTTGTTTAAGGTTTCAAAGACAGGGTATCAGTTGGATAAATTAATAAAATTTTAACATTTGCTCATGAATGCTGCAAGAATTAACAAACAACGCGATGTACAACGGTAAATGTGCATATCCTCCATGCAATACGCACAAGTGTTGCGTATGAGCTAGCTGTATTAGGTCAATATCAAGGTAAAATATCAAGGTAAAATGTATGCAATGCTTAAGAGGGTGATTTTATAAATGAATTGTGCTGTCTGGTCTTGTATCGCATTAAGTCAAAACGGGATGCTTGAAATGCACTTGAATAAAATGAAATGCTCACTTGGTTTGTTGCCTGCATTCTTGCGTGCACATGCATCGGTGAGTTGTACCACTTGCATTGAATCGTAAACTATCGATTTTCTCTTGCTTAACAACCGGCAGTGTAGCACCTGGAGATGAGGGTTGGTGGTTCGCGCAAATCTCGTGCCATACCCTGGCTCGCCAGGAAGTGGCGGTACAGCAAGTGTATTAATCTCCAATTTTTTTCCATCTGCACGGGGATGGGGTGTTTCCCCCCACACCCCCACTTCCCAACATCGCACGTGTGTGGGTTTTCTCCCCGGCAATCTGGTTTACTCCCACATGTATATTAAACACGTGTTCGTGCAGTTGACCCAACATCCTAATTCAGGCCCACAAGAGCTTGGGACACATTTTTGGCTCCGGGTTCTGATCGTCGACTGTGATTTTTTTTTTCCCCCCACACCTTCCTGAAGCTAAGGAAAACTGCACACGTGACAGATTTGTAACTTAAAAATGTGTAAGCAGCCGAGATCGGCTGGCTCGATAGCCGGAGCTCCTGCCGCCGACTCGCATGTATGGTTGGGAGGGTGCTGGCGTTGGTGCACGGGAGTGGTAACATGTCGGGAGTCCTTTATCCAGCAGCGGATTGAAAGAAAGTGCTGTGAATCATCTTACTAATTATTACCATTTTGAAAATACCGGTGATCAAATGCCCATTGATTTGAGATTTTGTTTTGCAACCGCTGCTAACAGATACAGATGCAGGCAGTGAGACTGTCAAGGCGAACTGGAAGTATAGTCGGAGGAATGATTACTTTTCCTGTAGCGTTGACACGTTTAACAGGTGAAGGTTACAAAGAAACACTGCAATGCATTTCAAGTGTTCCATTTTAACAATGACAATCGCATTTCGGTAGTGTAGAAGAACATGTTTGTCGAATCTCCTGTCTGGCACTCCCATGCGAGTATTGTATGCAGAGCAAGTCCATTAAAACGCATTGTGTTTACGTCCTTATTATGGATCCATTGTGCCCTTTGAAACATCGCTGGCATTCCTGTCGGCAAGAACGTTGTAATGGGATCAGGGTTCAGCTGAACTTAACCTTGTGCAAGGTGGATATATTGTTAGCCCCACGCATAAACACGGCTTCTGTAAAGAGCACGTGCATTGCTATGGTGATGTAGAGGAGCCGTCTTTCGCCAAACACATGTTAACCTTGATATAAAAATGATGACTCGTAAATGCCGCGGATTTGATACGGCGTTAAAAACTATAATGTACACCCCCTTCGTCAATCCACTGCTGTAGGACGGTCCCCCAAGTGTCGTGTCAGTCCTCGGTGTTTGACCATACTTCACCACACCGGTGATGGGTAGTATGTATGTTGAACTTCTTTTGCACCGTATGTAGCCAACCGCGCTAATCGGAGGTGCGGATCAAGGGCAACAAACTTAAAACACAACAAAGCAGTTCTGAAGGAATTAATTTTCAATCTAATAGTTTAGAGTGCATCGCTCCAGCGGCTTCCTAATATCGGAAGGGAGAGCGTTCCAGACGGGCGCAGAAGCGCATCTGCTGTAAGCACGCGATGTAGGGACCGAGCGGAGTTCTGGGCAGTTGGGGGGGCAATAGATATGACTCGAGAAGAGGCACGGAATAGAAGCTCATGGAGGGATACAATGTGGGTTACAATGTGTGTGTCTCTCTGTGTCTCTGTGTTGTCTCTCTCTGATTGTTTCTGTCTGTGTCTCTGTGTTTTGTCACTCAAATTTAGTTCTACCTGATCACGACTGCTTGTGTTGCAATCGAAACGTCGTATTCTATTATTTAATTTGTTTTCTTTCTACGTGACTTTACCGAAAGAACCAAAGAGTAATTCCTCCTGTCATGAAAGCTTCAAATCAAGTTTGCAATAATTGCATTTTTGGCTTAATATAATAAAAAAAATCTAGCATTGGTGGTGGTTGGGGTGGTGGTGATTCTTACACATGCAAATACGTGGCGAAGAGATGGACTGATGCAGTACAGGAGGAATTGGAGCTGAATGGACTTGGTGAAGACTGGTACGAGCGGTGTCAAGGTTGGCCTCTTTGGAGGAGACTCGTGAAGGACGCTACTGGGGAGTTGCAGGCAGTCGCCCTCCAACAGGTGATGGCAGATGAGCGACGTTCAACAAGCAGAACACCGGATGGCTAAAAACATCAAGTTGGGACAGTGGGGGGGTACAGGTGGTATAGCTGCCGGTCATCTCCATCAATCCATGGCACGTGACCTGCCAGCAGAGGGCCTTTGACACTTCATGTGGCCTCGGAGTGCACCTAGCCTGGAACAAGTGCCTTGGTGACGTTGCCGCTACTTAGTGGTGAATGGCGGCTGTTTTTCAGAATTGGAATATTTCGACTGGAGGAATCCGATGAGCTATGAAGCCTTTTTAGCAGCTGTCCAGTCGGAGCGGGTCGCCAAGGTACAACAACAAACAATACAAAACCCACTATAGGAGTGTAAAATAGGCGAAAGGTAAGAAAGTCACAAAAATGCTATAAAAATCTATAAAATAAGTACCAATTGCACAAGTACATATTCCTGACGATTTTTCAACACGAAATGCAAGCTTTGGCAAGGCAGTAAAACAACAACAAAAGCAGTCTTAAGACCACAACAAAACAACACGCAGTCACTCAATAACGTTGCACATTCAAATGGAACGCTCGATACACGAGGAAGGGTCAAAGTTACAAATCACATTGGCAAATGTGGCAGTATCCGGCACCGATCTGCTTAAGGATATTTCCTGAAGGAAGATTCACAAAGGTAAGTGAGGGGGGAAATAAAGCTCCTTCCAAAATGTTGGTGCTGCAACGGCACAGGCTTAGTCACCAATCTCAATTGTTGTTCTAACGAATAGTTAGCATACAAACACATTCCTGCGGAGGGAGCTGGTAGGAACGTTGGGTTGCTCGGTCAATGGCCAGGGTCAACGGCGGCGTGGTGTATTCCGCAAATATGGCCGACTGTGAGGGCGGGCATAGGCCGGCGTGAGTAGGTTAAACGTTGAGTTTTATAAGGGCACCACAGGGTGACCAGCCCCTCCCCACCCTCCCCACCCAGCCCCTCCCCACCCTCCCCACCCAGCTCCTCCCCACCCTCCCCTCCCCACCAAGCCCCTCCCTGCACGACGAACGGACCCAATAATCCCCTGTGGGCTGGTGTAACCAGGAGGTTCCTACCAGTATTAGATGGACGTCTTAGGCTTTTTTGGGTTTAACAATGGGGTTAATAAAGTGGCTAAGTATAGAGCACATTTGTCAATGAGGGTTTTATGGATGAACAGGGCCCATGGGAAGATGTAATCACGCATCACGTGATGTGCAGTATTAACACGGATTTTGATTTCTGAATTTTCAGGCACAATCGAATGGGAAAACAATGTTGGTTTCCGTATAAAAAACCCAATTTTTTTTATTAGACTTTTCTTTGAGACGTAATCAATATGGGTTTGGAATGTATGTTTTGAATCAATCGGTGAAGCCAAATATTTGAGGCACTCCGTTTGTTCAATTATGTTGTTTCTGATATCCATAATAGGTGAAGGGGTAACAATTAATATTGAATTAAGTCGAAAAATCACGTTGGAGATTATGTTTGACTTCGTTAGGCGATGTACCTAATACTAGCATGACAGTGTCATCAGTAAAGAAATTGTATTTATTTCAAAAAGATAATTAATTCAAAAGGTAATTCTTAAACCAGTTTGTCGTACTGTCTGAAAATGTTAGTTGACCAAGTCTTGTGAGTAGAATATCATGGTTAACGGTATCATGGGCTTTTGATAAGTTGAGGAACGGTGCACATCAGTAGTGGCTTTTATCCAGGTTACTGAAAATGTAATCCATCCATCATAGCTGGTGAAGTAATAGAGACTGCTCTTTGGTTCTTTCGGTAAAGTCACGTATAAAGAGAATATAATAGATTAAATACTAGCATACGACGTTTCGATTGCAACACAAGCAATCATCATCAGGTATACATGAAATAGAAACACAAATCTAGTATACTTCATTTATACCTGATGACGATTGCTTGTGTTGCAATCGAAACGTCGTATGCTAGTATTTAATTTATTATTTTATCTTGATACGTAACTTTACTGAAAGAACCAAAGAGTAATTCCTGCAGTCACGAAAGCTCCAAATTAAGTTTTAATAGAGACTGCGCAATGATTATTAGGATCTGCTTTTCAGCCGCTTGTATATAGTGGACGAATGATAGCGGATTTGCACGCTGGTGGAAATGTCCCTTCGGTAAGTGAGAGGTTGACAATGCCTGTGAGTGGTTGTAGTTGATTCTTTTCACGAGCCTGTGAATAGGTCTTGTCACGACACTGCCATGGGACGTGCATCTGTAACTGTCACGCACACAACACGTGAATACTACTTTGCCAGAGAGAATAAAGTGTGGTTGCTGAAATGCCATTAAACGGGCAATATAAGACGGAGGGTCACCGTGTTCATGGGCAGCACACAATTCACAGCCGGAACTTGTCAGGTCCACGTGCTTGCAGAGTTTAAATCCCGATTGCAGTTGCACACAAATCATTGGACACAGTGACCAAGGTCGCGTGCTCAATGTCACGTAAATGCTCAACATCCCTTGTATGTGTGCATTTACATTGCTGCAATGGCCACTTCAAGGATTGCTCTAACAAAACACGGCAAATGCTGAAATTCCCACATTCATAACATTTCAGGCTATAGGGTCACAATGTAAAAATGCCGCTCACGGGAGCGTTAAATGTATAAAATAGCCAAGCGGAACTGCTAATGCAGTGTGGGTTACCTGGAGGTGATTGCTGGGGGATTGACAGCCTTTGTTGGGATTTTCTTTTCTTTCACTGTGGCGCTCAGGGGAAGTTGTTGTGCTCTATGAGGATACTCTGCTGTAGCTGTCATTTTTTTTAAAGGCTTCAGAAAGCCATCGAACAAAGACGGCCACCACATCGCGCTTTCAGACGCGCTTCTGCGACCGTCTGGAACGC